ATTCAAATGCAATACATGCACTTCCACTTCGTGTCACAGAACAAAAACTTGCTTTTCACAAGAAGTATAATATTTTAGGTAAAGTTTGAGGGACTCACCAGGTCACTGAAAGAAGATAGAGATCGCCGGAGTCCGGGAGTGATACTAAATGCTATCGAGCGCGCTCTCGGGTTAAATTTCTGAAGGCACGGGCGGATTTTCAGGTATTATGCTAGGGTTGGCACTACTAAAAATTGGAAAGTGTCTCGATTATAATTAATTTCGCGATGAATTCTAATATTTTTGGACTCTTCTAGCCTATATTGTTTTTCCAAGTCAAATTATTGTACAAAACAATTGATATTTATAGAGTGAATATTCTTACAACTACCAATCCGTGCACAAAACAAGCAGTAGGTATCTGAGTCAACCGGGTTACTTACTCCGAAAAACTTTATCCGAAGTTTTGAATGTTGCCATCCCTCTCACACAAAGCGAGATGCCAATATGAGCGACACGGTGATAGATAGACCCGAAACTACGTAAACAGCGTTTCGTAGTAGCCCTGAAGGTTTCATCATTATAGGGACTGAAGTAGTTTTGACTAAAGCGTCGTATAAGAGTCAAATCACAACACAAAATGTTTTTGAGATGTAAAGAGAGATATCTACCAGTAGACTGTCGTGGTGATCTATTTCCTTTATAATGTAGGTACTATTTTGACTCTACTTATGTGTCCAAATCATTTACTTGCAAACTACAGACAGTATTCCAAAGAGCAAAAATACTAAAATTATATCATACCTACCTCCCGATTTGCCCAACAGATCATGGTCACCGTCAATAGACATCAAAATAATAATTTTAGTAAGAACCGTAAAGAGTCTACTAGAATCTTATTTTTTAAAAGGGATACTCTCATAATATTTATCAATAGAAAAGCGCCAACCCTGTCGCCAATCTTGAAGTAAATAAACTCGATAGCTTAGGCTATAAATTGACCACCTTATCGTGTCTGCTAATCTTATGTTTTCTGATAAAACATAATATAATTTGTTTATGACAAATTATTTAAAAAAATGTACCACAAGGAAGAATCTAGTTAATATTCTAGGAACTAAGTTTGTGCTCTTTACTTACTTGATCCTTCGAAAGTTCTAGGATACCAATTCACATACAAGATGCCATCAAGTATTTCTGGCGATTATTGTTCCTTCAATGTTGGTTAAACAGGTCTACGGTCTACCACTGTATGCTTTTTATGAAACGAATCTATGTAGAGTCTTCCGTAGTTAAAAAAAAAACCGTACATTAAATTTTTTTTTAAATAAGCTAGAATACCTTTCATGCATAATTTTATTTTAATTCTGAAATCTTTCAGGGGCGATTTACTCGCTAACTACCATATAAAACTTAAAATTCTAGTATTAAACTACCTAGTTCTAAATTTTTTAGATATTCACCATCATTTCAGCCACAGGACCTCCACTGCTGAACTTGGGCCTCCCCCAATGACTTCCATAATGACCGGTTGGTAGCGTTTAGATAATAAACAGTGGAAAATTTTACATATCCTGCCTATTCTATATCCTAGTAACACGATTATCAAGTCAACTGTTGCAAAGTAAATCCCTTGACATAAGTAATGAATTACATTTTCGATAAACGGACATGTTGTCTAGAGGTATGTAATGTAATCCTGATGCAAAAGATAAATAAATTAATCAAAAGACCTGTATGTATGTATTGAATCAATACTGTAGTAGCTGTACCTAATAGATTCATAATAAGAACAAACAAGAGCCACGAGTTATGAAGATTTTTGACGACGATTAAGTAATTACGCAACCAAGGAATCGAACCAGCGTAGACCAGCGCTTCGACCGGTCTTTAGATGGGTTGTTTAAAAAATGCAACCAATCTCTAGAAATTTGCAGTTTGATTCCTGAACTTTATCAGGTAAAAGCCTGCGACTTGAGAAATTATGAATGTTTGCTAAAACAGTGTAACCTACTTCTTTATTGTTACCGCCATACCTAAAGCCAAATTCTATCACCAATTATTTTGTTCAGTCTCTCTTATCTTTCGCGAAATAAGTGTGTGACACCTAGATAGATAAGTATAACTATATAGTTAACGTCGCCGCACCGGGGGGCACACCTTTTGCGATAATTTTCGCAACAATTCTATGAAGATTGGAAAATTCCCGACACACCCGCCTAAATATAAGGTCCCTGTCACTTGTAGATTAGCAGGATAAGCTGGACTAGTTGCTGATCAGTCACCACTATCAGTAGATTGTGTTATCAATTAGGTACAGTTGAATTGCACTTTTTGCACACGATAAGAATGTCTTAAGGAATGCATGTTAACAGCATATTATTATCTTACTAGCTTTTGCCCGCGGTTTCACCCGCGTGAAATTTAGTATGTCACAGATCGTCATAAATTATAGCCTATATGTTAATCTGGGTTATAAACAGTAATACTGTAAAGTTTCAACAAAATCCGTTCAGTAGTTTTTGCGTGAAAGAGTAACAAACATCCAGACATCCAAACATCCAGACATCATGATATCCAAACTTTCGCATTTATAATATTAGTAGGATTACAAAGGATGATGTACACCGCATTAAGCACTGTCCTAGCCATTTTGAAAGTTAGATAAACACCTGATACCTACACTCGGCTAAACGTTAATTAATACCATCGTATCAATGATTTGAATCATGTTTATCACATCAATGACGTTAATATAATTTAAAAGCAATTAGAACAGAAAGAAATAAGATAAAATAATTCACTCGATTTCAGAAATAACTCCTTTAGGCCCGATTTCCACCGAGGAGATGAACCGGAGAAATGTTCTGAACAAACAATCAGATGACATTCAGATTTAGGCTGAGTTGCACGACCTAACATTAACCGTAACTGATAACGGGTGCTTTTTGTATAGTTTGACAGATTTTAACATTTGCTAAAGCTAAAGTAAGATGGTGCAACCCAGCCTTATTGAAATTGACAGTATGAAATCTGACTGGTTACTTATCCCAACTAATATTATAAATGCGAAAGTAACTCTGTCTGTCTGTCTGTCTGTCTGTCTGTCTGTCTGTCTGTCTGTCTGTCTGTTACGCTTTCCCGCTTAAACCTCGCAACCGATTTTGATGAAATTTGGCATAGAGATAGTTTGAGTCCCGGGAAAGAACATAGGATAGTTTTTATCCCGGTTTTTGAAACAGGGACGCGCGCGATAAAGTTTTTCTGTGACAGACAAAATTCCACGCGGGCGAAGCCGCGGGCGGAAAGCTAGTTCAAAATATTTCTCCGCTCGCGCTCCGCTCCGCGTTGGTGAAAACCGAAACTTAAGCGATGCCTACTAATAGGCATAAGAAATAAATGTAACTTAGTCACTTCTATGTACCTACGTACGCGTATATACCAGTGCTAATAAGTAGCGCTAAACATTTTTAACACCCGATGCGGACATCCGTGTTTTAAAACCATTGAAGTGAAATCGCTGATGCTTACTAAGCCGACATGGCAACTCGATGCGCAGGCGCCGGTCAGCGACATCAGTATCATGTCTGATCGTAAATCTTCATTCTGTTTATGGAATCATAATATTTTATTTTATTTATTTATTTATTATTCATTATTGAGCAATTACATATTTGATCCAAATAGCGTCCTAAATCCTTTTTAGGTATATGCACGCCTAACTTATCTAACATCATTAAAATGAGGTTTTAGCTCATCTAGAGCTAAAACCGCGTAGCTGATCTTTGAATAAATTTGGAAAATATTAGGAACTTCTGGCCTCTCCCTAGGTTGTCTGGTAGAGATCGCTTCATATGTATTTCTTTTTTTTTCTTGTTTTGTGTGGCGTAATCATTCTCATACTTTTGCATTATCATTATTATCAAACGCTACAAACTAGTAAAGTAGGTATCCGTTATCATTATACTTAAAGTTATTCATACTGCGTGTGCGACCATTTTCCAATGTCAAGATATTGTTTAACCTTTCAGAGTGTCAATGACATAAATGTAATAAGCATACCGTATTTTCTCAACCAAAGTGTTGAAAATTAAAATGAAAATATTTATTGCCAGAATCCAACAATACAATAACTAAAAGACAGACCTCCACACTAGGCATTTGCCTGTCCACTTACTTACCACTTATCAGATAACTTAAAGGAGTGTTTTTCAAAAAACGATTTGCAACAAACATGTAAGTACAGGTAGGTTTTTTTTTAACTTGAAAAAATTGTTTTAGGAGAGATTTTAATCCAGGAGGACCTTTCACTTGTCGGGTATATGCTCATTTCTGGGTTTTGCTGGGTACAATTCACAGATGAGAGTGTTCAATTCTCACTTGAGATACAAGATTATTCAAGTTCTGAAAAATTAGTTTTGCGATACATCACTTGAATGAAAAAATCCTAATATTCGTTATAGTACTTGTGCTGTACCAAGTATTGACTAGGAAAACGTTGTTAGAGACCTTGGCAGGCTCTACAAATAGCAAAAAATAAATACTCTTAGCTTATCCAGGAAAAAATATCTTATTTCTTGCGTTATGCAGGTACATAAGTATCTTCAACTTTAGTGTTGTTCAAATATCAATACCATGCCGCTTTACAGTTTTTCCCTAGGTATTATAGAGTTAAAATTTTTGAAATTCAGTAAATCCTGAATTCATGCTTGACACACCTGTGCGATTGAAACTTGAAGTGACGTTCGTATCGTATCGTAAATGGGCCTTTAATAGCCATGATTCTAAAGGGCTGATCAGCCATGAAACGTCCATGACTGTGGGTGTAAATCGGTCTTAAATGGACCTAAGGTTGGTCAATAGCCAATACATCGGTCTATATCACTTTGATCACCTGGATTTGATCACCTCCAAGCGACACTTTGGTGTCCTTTGATCACCCATGGATAAGAAGTCCACTCTGGGTGATCAAAGTGGAATAGACCAATACATCGCGGCCTCGTGTACATCATATACACGTACTAAAGTTTAATACTTATAACGGCCCGATAAAACAGTCCGGGTACAATCGTAATCTGCCGGCGCGCTATCAGATTAGGATACGGAACATGACTTCGGTTATCGTAGTTTTGCAATTTTAACATTTGGACACGTCAGTTACTTCGAGTGATTATGGTATTTATAATCTAAATTCAAAATCATTTTTTCCAAGTAAGTTTTTTATTTAGGTAGAGTTAAAGTTAACTTGCTATGACATCATCTAACTCTGTACATCTTAACAAAACTTTTATTATTTATCTAATTATATTCTTGAAGGTGGACTTTTTTAATCGTCAGCAAGCATCGGCCACAGACCACACTGTCAAGAGTGAACTACACTTCGCCTTACAAAAGAAGTTTCACTCTTAAGCTGGGTTGCACCACGTAACTTTAACCGTAACTATGACGATAACCAGTGTTTTTGTATGGAGTTTGACAGATTTTTGACGTTTGTTAAAGTTAAAGTAAGATGGTGCAACCCAGCCTTAATGAAGTCCGCCGTAGCTTAACATAAGCCTTTTCACCATATCTTCTATCCAGACTGCAGTTTCTCGTCCCCAAATCCGCTAGACTGCATCTTGTCCACAGGAATCATCATAGGGTCAGTTGGGGGCATCATGACAGTCGCAGCCAAAGCCGGGCTGTGTCTCCCCGCCTTGAGGAGCAGGATTTTCACCAGCGCTCTTTGCCCGCCCTCCCCTGTCACAGTCCGGAAGAGGACATCGGGACTTACGTCATCGTCGAATACCTCCTCCACTTTGGTTGGAAAGTTCAGCTTTCCATTCGGAGGGAGCAAGGGCACCTTTAAAAGAAATGTTTTCACCATAAATTGGCAGCTAATTTATTTATTTAACTGGAATATAGTCGAACGATTCCGAACTGTCAAATGGCAAAAATCGGAACTAATAACCCAGTATTGTTGACAGTACCGCCCTCCTAACAATGTCATAGCTGGGACGGTTGTCTTTTGCCCGTTTTCTAGTGACCTGATTTTTTAGTGACCCTTATGGTAACACATAACAGGCATTTAGTTTTCATAGGGGTCACATAAAAATTAGGGAATGATGGTGAAAGCGGGCATTAGACAACTTTAAATACCTATTATTTTTTCTATTTGTGGTCAATGAGAAATGAATGAAGAATTAAAGATACTTTTACCACATCTTAAAGTGATTTTACACGCTTTCTCAAACCATCTTTGGAATGGACACTACTTAATTTTATGCTATGTTCGATATATTGTTCGATAGCTCAATAGTTTGACCGCATAGGCCTCGCGGCTTGAAATTCCAATGTTGATATTATTTCAAACCCTTGTCTATTTCAAGGTAGACAAATAAATCCGAGTAAATCATGATTTTTTAACGGATTAGGCCTCAGCTATGAATGTTAACGTGTGCTTGTTAGATTTTTTACTGCAATGGAGTTGTGAATAGATATGACGCACATGCACGAAGGTACTATCGGGGACTCTTCCGCCTGACCACTTTGTAGAAATTTTTGCGTAAGCGCATCGCTCCGGTCACGTGCTCACCCCGTCTCTAATTGGTTACGCATTTTACTATATTTTTACTACGACCAATAAGAGACAATCAGGTCTTAGGTTGCAATACGAAATACCATTGTGCACTTTATTGTCATACGGTTAAGGTTTAAAACGAAATGTTTCTTTTTCTTCAATCTTTCTTAGTTTTAGGCTGAGTTGCACCACCTAACTTTGACCGTAGCTATAACGGTAACCGGTGCTTTTTGTATGGAGTTTAACAGATTTTTGACGTTTGTCAAAGTTAAAGTAAGATGGTGCAACTCAGCTTTAGAATTTTAATAATAGAATTTGGTTACAAACAAATAGATAATATGTATTTTTTTAATATTGTATTTTTATACGAGGTCTGTCTGCTTTTTGCTTTGGCGAACTGTCGACATATTCTCTCCGTTGCCAAACGAGCGCTACGGATGCGGGTAAGCTAAGCAATACTCAATCCTAAACGCTTTACATAGAGCTTGGTTTGCTAGGGCAAACATCTACAGTGGTGCGCCGACGCTGCTTAGACCCGAAACATGAATGAATGGGGGCGTAGCTTAATCGAGCGTGTGTGTGCAAACAATTTAGGCCCTTAAGGTGTCAAGGCGTCCGAGTCCCCGATAGTACCTATTTACTGCGCCATAAAAGCCCAGTGGAACGAAAAAATCAAGTATTTCTTAACACAAATGACACAATGAACTGTGCATGACTATGTTTCATAGTGTCTATTAATATTAAAATTAAAATGTTAGGTGTAATAAATTTACCGTCATCATGTTTAATATTAATTGACGCAAGTACATTTTGTTTCTTATTATCATAGAATAGTGGAAGATACGAGAAATTGCAAGTGGTTGTGTTTTTTAAATACATTTCCACAACATTCAAAACACACGAGCATGACGTAAATGCAATATAGGTAAATCAAAAGTTCCAGTTCAAGTAATGTTCGCCTATTTATATGTAAACACAGCGTTCATTGTTATGTGGTTTCAGAGGTGTTAATTTGTGTGTGACAGCGGCACGGGGAGGGTGTTTTTGTGACGGTCAAACGTCAGCGAGACTTCATATCTTCAGATTTGTAAGATCGCGTCATAAATGTCAATGTCACCTCTCGTGCCGCTTCTATACCTCAGGAACTGACTTAGTAAGCACTATACCAGAGTAAATACAAATGAGTAGGTCATCTTCATAGAAATGGTTTGTATGTGAGAGCGCCAATATACGTATGCGGCGCGCACGCACACACTGACAAAATTCGGTGCAACTCACCGCTAATCCACGCTAAATTTTTTATAACTTGGCAGCTAATTTATTTATCCAACTGGAATATAGTAGAACGATTCTGAACTGTCAAGTGGCAAAAATCGGAACTAATAACCCTGTATTGTTGACAGTACCGCCCTCCTGACAATGTCATAGCTGGGACGGTTGTCTTATGCCCGTTTTCACCATCAATCCCTGATTTTTTAGTGACCCTTTTGTGGATTAGCGGTGAGTTGCCCCGAATTTTGTCAGTGTGTGCGTGCGCGCCGCATACGTATATTGGCGCGCTCACATACAAACCGCGCTCGGTGCGTTTCTATGAAGATGACCTACTGATTTGTATTTACTGTGACTATACCTATAGTTTGTATACATACCTTGATATGTGGGTTGGAAACCTTGTAGTTGGTGGTGTGGACGTGAAACAATATGGACAGCCCGATGACGGCTTTATCGGGCGACGTGTTCTCAACTATCAGGCTCACGCAGAACACGGGACCCAGACCTTCCACCTACGGAATAAGGATCAAATTACCCTAGAATCTTTCTACCAAAGCGAAAGAATCAAAGGGATATGGATTCTGAATAACTAAACTGATTTCCAAACCTAGTTGACCCACAAAGTAGACCGACGACCTCATAAAGGTAGCAGGAAGGCGCTGGATGCAAGCCGCTACCAACCGGTCATCATGGAAATCATTGGGGGAGGCCTATATTCAGTAGTGGACGTCCTATGGCTGAGATGATAGTGATGATTGTTTCCTCCCCTTTCCGCTTTAGTGGAAACCGGGTCTTGTAAATCTTTATGCGACTCTTAATTATTAATATTAATAAGTAGATCATGAGGGGTATATTTTTAAGTCCCAACCGGTCATAAATATAAAGATATAGGTATTAGATAAGATAATTTATTAGTTCGTGCGTTAAATACACTTATCATTTTATAGATAAGTTCGCAAAACTCATCCTAATCCCGACTTTGATAAGACAGAATACACGTGGCGCTATCTGTCGTCTTTATTTGAACTGATTGACATCAATCGATTATGATGGAAGATCTCAACAAAAGATGGCGCTAAACGTGAAAAATGAAGACCTATTCTGCGAATTTATCGCACCAGGTGAATCCAATCGTTGTCAGCAGCATACATTTTGTTGAAAATTTTAAACAACTTCTGGGTTTTCTTCTCACTTCCAATATCCAGTGTTCGGTACCAGGCTGTTCTAATCGTAGAACCCATTACTAATGCTGACACTAGATGGCGCTAGATATACCATTGTGCCTCGTCTGCGGACCAATTTATAGACCCAATACACTGAACTGTCCATCAATAGTTATAAGATCTATCAGTGATCAACATACCTCAGCAGACAACCGCACAGACTCCATAGCGCCCACTCCGATGGAGTTATCAGACCTAACGTGAGCATCCAGTAGAGTCTTGGCGGCTTGAAGTCGCAGGCGGTTCAGCTCGTGTTGAAAGTTCTCGTGCATGGCTGGACAGAGAATATAGGACTTTGTATTTAATGTTGTAACGTAGCTTTTACTTCGCTAGATGGCAGCACTTTTATAGTATCGTTATTATTATTTGCCCATACAACTATTCTTGGAACCTTACTCCATATTAATATCATGAATCATCCGACTAGTTGCATAATGGTCTACCCACTGACTTAGGCTGAAATTCAAAAGTCACAAACAAGGAGCTCAAGGCAGAGATAAGGGTCTGAAAAGAAGAGGGAAAAAACTGACTTATTATCTCTAGCCTTCTTATGCTAAAGAGAAATGGGCTCTTGTCCAGATTTAAACTTCTGCTACATCACTTACTTACCAACAGCATTCTCTCGCTCCCTCAGCGACTGCTCCAGAAACAGCTTGGACTTCTTGGGGATGAGCCAGGGCTTCTGTTACATTTGGAACTTTGTCTAGGTTGTGAGAGGAGGGGGGTGGGGGGCAGATATTTGCAAGGGTATGGGGGGGCAAACAGACTAGTGGAAGAACCAAAAGCTTGCTTTTTGAATTCTGCTACGTCACTCACCAATAGCGTTCTCCCGCTCTCTCAGCGACTGTTCCAAAAACAGTTTGGACTTCTTGGGGATGAGCCAGGGCTTCTGTCACGTTTGTAACTTGGTCTAGGCAGATATTTACAAGGGTAGGCGGCTAAACAGGCTAGAGACTAGTGGTAGCCTGATTGTTTCCGCCCTAAGAACCCGAACCCTCCCGAGTTTGCTAAGTCGCTTACCGACAGCATTCTCCCGTTTTCTCAGAGATTGCTCCAGAAACAGCTTGGACTTCTTGAGGATGAGCCAGGGCTTCTGTTACATTTGGAACTTTGTCTAGGTCATGAAAGGAGGGGGGTGGGGGGCAGGGATAGGGAGCCAAACATACTAGTGGTAGGTCAATTGTCTCAAAAGCTTTTTAATTTCTGTTCGTGACTTACCGACAGCATTCTCTCGCTCCCTTAGCGACTGTTCCAGAAACAGTTTGGACTTCTTGGGGATGAGCCAGGGCATCTGCCCCGCGGCCGAATTCACGCCCGCCGACTGTCCCGCGAAGTCCAACATCCAAAGCTCCCTAAGTTTGCTACGTCACTCGTTCGTTTCAGATGACGTCCACTACTAGTCAAAGGCCTCCCCCTAGAATTTCCATAACGAGCGGTTCTGCGCTGCCCGTATCCAGGAACTTCTCACGATCTTTACCAGATCGTCAGTCCACCTAAGGAAGGCCCACACTACGCTACGTCCTCGGCCCGTGATGTTCGCCACTTACACACACAACTTTTTTTACCAACGACCATCACGCCCCGCCCACTACGCTACGTCACTTACCAACAGCATTCTCTCGCTCCCTTAGCGACTGTTCTAGAAACAGCTTGGACTTCTTGGGGATGAGCCAGGGCTTCTGCCCCGTGGCCGGCAGCGCGTCGACACCCGCCGAGTGGCCTGCGAAGTCCGCCGTGCGTTTCAGGATCTTCAGCATGAGGTTACCACCTAAAGGCAATGATTTTAAGAGCTGAATTAGAATGGCAATGCAACACAGTCTTTTATTTACCCTTGGTACTACAAGTGCTGAGTTTAAGAGCTATATCACAATGGTCACGCCCGCCGAGTAACCCGCTAAATTCGCCGATCGCCGTGCGTTTCAGGATCTTCATCATGAGGTTACCACCTAGAGGTGATGATTTTAAAGGCTATAATTACAATGACAATGTGCTAAGAATAGCCTGACTGTAAAATCAGTTTAATTGTAGTTTCATTACTGAGTAAAACAATTTTTAGTAAGTGTCATTCTAACCCTGAAAGTACTCGCTTAGCAAATTTTCTTTTGGAGCATTCGTTGCTGGAATTAGAACACATTATTTGGTAATTTTGCAATATTGCATAACGACTAGTAATTTTGAGTGAAAGATATTTCTGAGATTAAGGGATTTTTTTACTTACCAACAGTAACTATGATGAATACGTGTTCTTCTTGTCCCAACTGTCCAAACTTCATTACAGAAACGACATCTGAAATTAAATATGAAATAAGCACAAGATTTCACCAACATCATTCACTAAAATCAGTGTTGAAACAATTGAAATCAATTAATTAAAATCAAAATAGGTTTCCAGGGCATCAGTACTTTACGAGAAGATGCCCCGGTGTCATTACCTCTGACGAACATGTTGTCTCGCCGCGCCTTCCCATCGTATAGGAGCACGTGACCTGACGCTAGCGCTACGGCTGCGAGAGTCACCCCTAGGTGCAGCACAGGGACTAGTGTCATGGCCACCGGCCGGTGCTCTAGGTTGATTGACCATTGCTTCTTGCCCTAGGAAAGAGAAAGAGTGATTGGGGCGATGATGACTGATATTAAGGCCGGGTAACAGAGAAAATGGCGAAAATGAGGTTTTCATTTTTCATTTTTGAGGTACTAAACAGTAAAATAAAAGGCTAAAATTTTTTTTGGGCATAGTTGAGGATATTTTCTAGGGCTATTAACGGATGGAAACACGATTTGATGAAGTTGACTCGATAGAATAAATTCCCAAAGTTACCTCTATTCGTTGTCTAATTATGGTTTTATTTTTAAAATAAGCGATTTGAGATTCTGAATCTTTTACTAAACTAAAGTTCAGAAATAACTTGAGGGCTTTTAACGGATGAAATTTTTATATTGCGTCTTATTTAGTTACTATGTTAAAAAATGTGGAAAAAATCGCCCATGACGGCTTGGACAATCTCAATCAGTCGCGCGGTGGCGCTTACGGAGGACGGACGCGTGCCAGTTTTTTGGCCGTGACAGTTCTCGATTTGTCAATATTTTTGACAATGATGACTTTGATGAGTCACAGTATAATAATACCAGTGTTACTGGAGAAAGCTAAAATTTTTGATAATTAAGAATTCTGAATTTTGTCTACCTATTGAAATTTAAATCGTTGGCATCCTTTTAAACTAAGACTCTACTCATGATACATTCCTCAAATATGAGACAAAACCAATGAGTTAAAATTACATTTTAATAGTACCTACATACAATCGTCTTCACTCTTTAGAAGAGCACACTGACACAAATAAATAATAAAAAATTAGGTCAGTGGGTCAAATATAGGGGCAGCTGCACGTCACTGAAAGACGATTCTGTTTACTCGGCATCTGGGCTGGAGAACATGAATCCTTGCTTACAGATGCAGATTTAAATAGAGTTATAATTGGACAAATTTTACATGAAATGTTTAACAGAACTCAGTTAAAAGACACATGGAATACCAATAAGGTTGCGGAGGGAAAGCTACCTATTATAAACTAGCGGCCGCCCGCGACTTCGTTCGCGTGGACCTCGTTTTACCCCCGTTAGATAATATGATGTTTTACCTCATTTTACCCATGTTGATAGATGGCGTTTCACGGTTTCCCCCGAATGAATATTTACGAACGTCATACCGTAGTTTGTCCAGTGCTGTAGATTTTAACCAATGACGATAGATGGCGCTTTTAGACACGTCTTATTTATTTATTGAAAGAAGAACGGTCACGCCCCATACAAAAAAAACCCAGATCCGACAGAAACGAGTCATACATCAGTTTTTTTGTCATGTCTCAATTAGTTAAATTATATATTTTTTATATTCGAAATCTATGTATAACACCAAAATATTACCTTTTGTTTTTGTTCAGGCGTTATACAAAAACTAATACAAAATGCCTATTTATCACCAAAATTGGTAAATGTATGTACCTAAATGTCTATTACAGCTGCTAAGGAATGTATCTAGGTGACCTGGAGATACAGCCGGATTATACAGGGTGGTTATACATATGGAACGATAAGTGATCTCACTCGATTATTTCTAAACTATACAAGATATCGAAAAACAAGTTACTGATTTTGAAAGTGCTTCACGAGCTCTTTGAAATGGTACCAATAATAGGTTACAGATTATGGAAGCAGGTAACATTGAATTTTTGGATTTTGTAACTTCTCGTTTCCACCCTGTATAATCCGGCTGTATCTCCAGGTCACCTAGATACATTCCATAGCAGCTGTAATAGACATTTAGGTACATACATTTACCAATTTTGGTGATAAATAAGCATTTTGTATTAGTTTTTGTATAACGCCTGAACAAAAACAAAGGGTAATATTTTGGTGTTATACATAGATTTCGAATATAAATGATATATAATTTAACTAATTAAGATATGACAAAAAAAATTAGGTATGTCTCGTTTCTGTCGGGCCTGGGTCACAGATGACCGTTCTTCTTTATTTGCCACATATCGTCATAATGTTAATCTGGGTTATAAACAATAATACTGTAAAGTTCAAAATCCGTTCAGTAGTTTTTGCGTGAAAGAGTAACAAACATCCAGACATCATGACATCCAGACATCCAAACTTTCGCCTTTATAATATTAGTAGGAAGTAGGATATTTCACAATCCAAACTAATATTTACTATTTAGCATTTACTTACAGTAAATATTAGTTTGGATCGTGAAATATTTAAAATAAAAAAAAGAATAAAACAAAATAGGGTTTCAAATTACCTATTTATAATCTAATATTATAAAGAGGTAAAGTTTGTGTGTTTGTATATTTGTTAGCTCCTTATCAAAAATTGGTGGCACACTGCTGTCTAGACGCTGCTTCTGACAACTGCCCTTGCCCCCAACTTCAAACGGTAACTAAAATTACTTACCTTGGCGTAATAGTCGATGATCAACTTAATTTTCAAGCTCATATCAGCCATTTGACTTCTAGAACCCGAAAATTAATTTACATATTTAGGAATCTTCGCCACATCTTTAATAATAAGGTTTTTAAAGTCACATATGCCGCTCTGTGCCAATCAATTTATTTTTTATTTTTACAAGTGTTTGAAAACTCCATTTCAGATTGTGTTCAATGTCAAGTGAAATCTCAAATTGAAATGTCTCAATCTCAATGAGGAGACTCTGTATTTATTCCTAGAATTCCCCAAACACCGTCAAATTACCCTTTCGAATTCAAGACAGTGCAGTTTCCCATCAGTCTGCTTCGTAATGACTATAAACAAAGCTCAAAGTCAAACTCTAGGGACCTCTGCTAAAACTCCCATGAGTGCACAGAGGTACGCAGGTAACCGCGTGTGATGCTCATAGCAATTTTCGATAGGTACAGAACCCTGTACATACGTCATACATATTATAGAAAGAAAACACCCAGACCAATACAAACAAAATTAAATATGTTTCTGCAATTTTAGTATAATATTTTTATTTATTAATAAACAAAGAGACTGAACAAAATTGATGCGTACCTATACTGATTAATGTTATTAACCACATGCAAAGCTTCGTGAATTGCAACAACTATATGTAATTAAATTTATTATCCAAGCTCTAAATAATCGCTACTAAGAGTAACTTATCATAATAAAAAAATCCAATCGCTCAAGCTTCCAAGGGCCTACCGATAGGTCGGGTGACGTAATCTTGAAATTCTTTAAGCCGGCGCAGAACTTCCAGAAGGTCGGGCGACGCCACGGCCACTTTGAACCGTGTTTACTTCTGCAGTTATATTTTATATTTATTCGATTCTAGAATATATTCCCAAAAAGTCTGAAAGGTGTTTTAATTTGTATCACTTGGATATGATTTCTAGTAGAAAGTGTTGTGAGTGTGACGCTTGAAGGGAAGGAAGTAACCTAACCAACTGCGTATTTCTATACTGTGTAGCTGAAAATTGTGGCGGGAGCTCTTTGACGCGCTGTTTTCGACGAAGAATTGCGCGCGCAGATTGTGACAGCGCGAAATACCTATTTTAGAAGAAATACCAAGCCTTAATGTAGGATATGAGTGCGAAACTGTGTCTTTCAAATATTCGAATCGGTAGGTCCAGGGGGGTTCCAGGGGGTGCCTTTGGACTTATGACGCCACTGGTAAGGATGTGCGAAAGAGAAGGAAGAGTGTGTGAGTGTGACGTACGACGACGTGTAGACGAACGACGATTGTTTTGAATTACATTTGGGGGGAATTGAAATGCGGTTCTAATTCCCACGTATTTATTTGCCCAAAATAGAAAATAATAAAAATATTAATTCAAAACAATCGTCGTTCGTCACACTCACACACTCTTCCTTCTCTTTCACACATCCTTACGTTCCGTTTCGCACTCATATCCTACATTAATGCATGGAATATTGCGTTGGAAAAAAAGGCAGTGATTGTTAGATGTTGGGTGTCTGAATCTGATAAGTTCAAATTCAGACTCCTCCTATGACGGACGATGGTCACAATCTTGGTTTCCCCCACCCCATCATGTGAAATCTTATCGCGAAGGAGTGGCTGAATACCTACAGTAGATGCGACATGATCTGGAAGAAATGCTCCTGGATTGATTCAGGTAGCGCAAGTTCAATTGTTATGGAAATCCGTGGAGAAACGTACCTATGGACGTATTTTAATTAACAAATCATTTGTGAGGTGCCTATGAGGATTATAGTAGCAAAATTACTTTAACGTAAATAATGCCTCACCTTCTTACTGTAAGAAGCGAGCGTATTATCCGCGCAGACGAGCATAATACTGAGGTCTGCCGTGAGCACCTCCATGGCGATGATATGCTCCTCTGTCGCCAGTAACTGCCGGCCCTCGGCCCAGTCCCGCTTTATGACGCAGACGGACTTCTCTCTGAAATAGGATTAAGGTTTATGATGTCAAGAGAGCTGTATACATGTATAACTCGGCCTTCACAGATGAAGTTGAAATAAAAAGCAGTACAACACTTAGGCTTGTATTCACAAACATTACTATGAGGTCTCACAGTGCGCGTGGACTAGGGATTGCAACCCGGTATGTTTCTCAACCCGGCCGGGCCCGGTTGCATTCGTCGCCAACCCGGCCGAGTCCGCCGGGCCCGGCCGGGTTGTGTGTTAGCAGTGAAACCTTTACGCTCGCATTCACAAACATTACTATGAGGTCTCACAGTGCGCGTGGACTCACAGGGTGACACACGAACCAATTACAGAGCTCTATTCAACGCTGTGCGTTCGATTTGCTGCTTCACTTAAGCAAGCATCGTTTGTGAATACCGGCATAAGATGTGCTGAAAGTTAAGGTCTGAAATTACATTTTCTTTTTGTTTTCAGCATTTCAGCAGATTTAATAATCAATCAACTTGTTTGTCTTACTACAGAATTCACAAATTCATAAAATAGATGAAAAATCAGCACTATTTTGCTTTATGTACAAGGTGTGAAAAACATTTTGTTTAAATCATAAAACATAAATGCTGGAACAAGCTGGTGCATGGTGCTCAACATTTAGCAATAATGTGTCCAGACAGTTTGTGTTTCATAATGGTTTCACTGAGCACACCTTGTGGCTACTGTGATTCTGTAGTCTACATTGTACAGTCCAGTTGTCACCATTTGGTACGGAGTCCTTTTAACACTGCACAGCTTAGTCTGAGTAAAAAATGATAAGAGATTTATACTGAATTCCAGTCTATTCTATTTCAGAGGTGTGATTTATTTATTCATAGGTGATCAAAAGAAACTAAAATAATAATTAAACTGGAGTCCACTTTGATCACCTGGGTGATCAAAGCCAGGTGATCAAAGTGGAATAGACCTGAATTTCATGCTGTAACTTACCACTGAAACCTGTGTAAACGTCTGTGGATCTAGGATAACCACTTCACCATCTTCAGTACCAACCACAAGGCAGCTAACGGAGTAACGTTCAACGGAGTGCATCTTCAATGTGGTAATACAAGCAACCTCCGGTTGTTTCCGTGATGGAGCTTCCGGTAGTTGTTCTAAGTATTCCAGCCGCTGCTCTGATGTCAATGCAATGAAGGTACGAGACTGTGAGCTGAGTATCTTGTGTGGTATAGCATTTAAGTTTTCAGACAGTCCTGAAATTGCTTCGATGTTGTGATTAGCAGGATCCATTAACTGAAATAGTTTAGTTATACATTTTAGAGCACAAGAATGTCTATTTTTTTAACATTTAATAGAAATTGTTTCCCAGTATGGGTAATGGCATGTAATAAAGCTATACTTGTACATGTGACATCTTTTAGAAATAAATACTTTTTTACTTTACTTAAGTATAACAATTTGTTCCTCCACTGTGTATAGCTGTAGGTACTTACCTGTTTCCACACTTCAGTCTCGCATACGCTCAGATCAATAGACGGCAGATAATATTTGTAGAATAGCTTCATGTTCTTGTAAATGTAGACACAGGAGCTGAAGGCCACAGCTATCATGGGCGCTGATCGTGGTAGCGACTCGTTTGTGTAGAAGCCAACAACTGCCAGAGGGAGGTCTGGTAGCAGCATGTCTGATACTTGCATGGCACCTTTGAACACCTAGAAAAAATAGCCTTTAGTTTAGTTATTCTTTTAAAAAAACTCATCCGACACAACCTCACAAACATGAATCCTTACAACTTTTAAAACTTTGCTTTAACCATGAACTTAACCAACTCAGTAACGTGGAGGAACACATAAACGTACCTTTAACTTAGGTCCTTCCTCTCCTTTACCTAAATCACCGACAACGAGCTTGAATTCATTATCATTGTTCAGGTCTATCAAAGCCAAGTTTGATGGCAGTGTATTAAGTTCGATGTCATCCGTTCCCACTTCCACATCCAGCCAGCGCGTCATAGTACCCATTTTGATAAATAATTAGTTTTCAAACATTCTAAATAACATCAATTTATAAACATTGCGATCGCAGATCACAGCTAGTGTTGTTTTGTAGTATACAGAAAACCGTTGTCATGACTACCAACTGTCAATGTCAAACTAAATAAGCTGCAAGGAAAACTAATATTAAACTTACCATAAATTGCTTAGATCATGTTGTTTATAGTAAACAGGCTGTATATTTTTTTTTCTTTTCGTCTGTTTCTATAAAAAGAAACTTTCTTGTCAATTTGACAGATGACAGAAAGTTGTTTGTTTTTGTTCGAAGCATCGAAGTTTTCGGAAGTTTTGGTTTTCATTGAAGAAAGTTTTAAAGATTTTCTATTTTCAACTTGAAACTTTTATCAACGAAACTTAATTACCTACCTATTTAGCTTTTCAATTTTGAAATAGTTGTGTTAAGTCATAAACAGATACAGTTCAATTTCGTCCTGCACTGCAACTCAACGGCCCAACAGTATTCTGTATTTCTGTAAGTTCGAATGTTGTAATTATTTTTTCCAATTTGAAACAATACTTACCTACCTACATTGTTGTAATTAGTAAGATGCGTCTGTTTTCTGAATCACGAGTCGACTTTCAGATGAAAACATAAATTCCACTGGCTGCTGATCATCCATGAAAATGAAAATGAATAAAATAAAAGAAAAAATGTTGTATATTAGAAGCTTCAAGAAAAGGAATTGGATAACAACGAAAATAAAGTTGGATAGTAAAGTAAAGAAAAAAGAGAAAAGCATTTAAATAATAAGTTATAACTTTCATCCCCTAGATCAGGTCAAAAAGCAATAGTAGGTACTTACTTACTGCACAGATTTAATACTAGTAAAATATTCTAAATAAGCCTAGTTGTTTTGGTGATATGAATGAAACATATTTTCAACTTATTTTTTAAGTTATTAATCTTCAATCAGGTTTGTGAGTTGTGTGATAATAATTTGTTAATTTTGTAAAATTCCAATTAAAATTTCTATGTTGGTTTAGATCCCATTGTATCTACCATGTATCCAGTGTATTACTTGTTTAATTCTCTTAAATTCAAAGTGAAAATAATTTAATTGAAAAATTATTTTGAAATGGAAACAATAAAATAAATAAATTCATTTTATGTTCATGCCATGATAAAACTCAGTTCTTAGAATTCAAAATAATTATCTAATCTGTTTTAAAGAAATATTTTACCTTGTTTGACAATTCTAGCCAATTTTTTTATATTTAATTCTGTGTTTAATATGCAATCTTTCTTTCAATTTATTACTTTTATTAAATGCTCAAGATGTTACTGAGATCCTAAAAACGGTCAGCGCCATCTATCGGCCACGCAAATGTTTGTACAATCATTCTCGAGTATAGGTAACGATCAATAATAATAATAAATAATATGTGCCTATGCTAAGAATTCGAACGACCGCCGCCAAGCCAAACCTATTAACTTATTGATGTTTAAAATTTAGACAGAATATTGTACTTTACTATATTCAAAACTCGTGCGGACATTCCGAAGCGCGATCATTTTTGCGTGCATCTTTCATTTTTATCTCCTAGCAATAAGTATTCGATAGTGAGTCAGCTACCGGGAAACTGCAGCTCGATTACTCCAGACTTGCTCCACCAGTTCCGAAGCCTCCTGCGCCGCGTGCGACGAAAAGGTGACTCACCAACTGGTTTTACTATTTTTGTAAAATACCAAACATGCGGCGAGCAAACAATCATTATAGATTTGTTCAGAGACCGACCATTTAAAACTTTATATGGCAAATCTACAGAATTATAAAGACGTAGTTACGATTAGAGCGTTAACCTCTACACTCCTAAAAAATTCGAGATAGGCACGTGCCAGTAACTATGAAGTTGTGTCTACGTGATTCGCGTGTTAATGGTCGGGTTTCCTACTGCTACACTTGTCAAGGAAGATCCGATTATGTAGCGTAGGTCTATCTAATGAATCACATTAACATTCTTGGAAGAAGCAAATTATAAAGATTCGTTTCCTCTCATTGATACGCTGCTCAATGAACACGTTCCCTACGTTTTTTGAGCGAGCGCAACATCGATTGGAAACAAAATGCATCGCTGTATCGAAATCCGTAGCACGACATTAGCATGCGATCATACAAAAACAAGTAATCATCAATCAAAAGATAATCTAGAGAGAGTTTCATGTTCACGCATTGGGTTTCCTTTCCTTGCACACCACACCAATCAGCATATCTTCATCTTTTAGCTCGACATCAATCATGCGTGTATGAAAATCCAAAGCCCGGGTCGCGGGGCCAGAGACAATAGGAAAGTGGCCTCGTATCTCTCCCGCGTTGTGCAAACCGACCTTGCCCGTGTTTGTTTTTGTTATTTGCATAGATATACATTTTAATGGGCGATAATTACATGTGCGGGAGCTTGAGGTGTAGGATTGCTTATCAAACAACGATTAAATGTTATTATGAGCCCGAAATTGTGACGTGGTAGACTCACGCCTCCCACTCGTTGTGACATCAACGGTTATAGGTTTAAACATTAAACAAATCGGAAGAAAAATAAATAAAAAGTTAGACCTCTACAATTTCGCAACCTAAAATCTATCTAACAATCACCCCTTTAACCTAAAAGTACCTACCTTAGTTCGCTTTTCATTAGCCAGGTATGTAAGATATAGGAAATGTAAGTAAATTGATCAACTGCAGAAGTTATAGTGAATAGAATATCTACTTGCATAATATTACTTGTTCAATAATCTTATTGTAATCCTTTTGAAACAAAAGCATCGTCGATAAATGTTATTTTTTACTATTTATCTGGTAGGTAATATGATTAACGATGGTTGATAAAAACTTGTTTCGCTACGCATGCCCTTGAAGCAAATAATAATATACTTAAACAGACAGGTTGATTCCTAATTTCCTTGACCGCTAAGTATTAAAATAGGTATTATCTTATCTAATGAACTCTCGTTTCATTACCAAACGTCGCGTCGACCAAATACGGAAACAACTAAAAGAAGACGAGCAATTTTAGGTTGTTTCCGCCTATTTAGTCTGTTCCCAAACCATGAAGGTTGCAGGGGTGCCTTCTCCGAAATTCCGTAACCCTTATCTCTCGGTTGCAATTTACAATCTGTAGAATTTTGGAAACTAGCAATTTTCTCGCTAGATTTCTAAACCCAACAATTTTTCGTGCCTATCATCACCCATTTTCATAGAAAGCGTCTCTATGTGTCCTCTGATGCTGATCTGATAGGCGTCCGAATCGCTTTGGTCACCCATCATGGCTGGTCGCGGTCACGCGTTCCCCATTGGCGTCGGTCACTCAACTGGTGCAGTCGATAATCGAGCACTCACCTGAGTGACTGAAGGTTGACAATCCGCGAATCGGCACTTAGCAACAAAGCTGCCACGGTCATTTGGCGAGATTTGAACTCGATTGTTCTTTGCACGTGCAGCATTTTCTTTTAATCGCGAAGGATGACCGCAGTAGATCAAAGAGTTTCTTGACTAAAAGGATTTTTGTTTGAGAATTTGGGCTAGTGAAATAAGTAATCGCCTGGCGGACTACGTATCTGATAGAGATTGTAGTAGATTGAGGTGTAAAATGAGTTTTATAAAGATCATATTGTACCAACGAATAAAAAGCAAGCGTTTTGCGTGTCGCTTAGCATAAGTATCCATCAGTTTACTAATAGTTCATGTCTTGATGCCTCCGAAAACCGCGCTAGCAGTCACTGAACGACCTCGAAATGAGGTAAAAAGGACGACTACTTCGCTTTGATGATACGGATCAGAAGTCACGCAATACGTGTTTCTAAAAAAGTTGCGCTAATTTTTGGTTATATCGTTAAACAACAGAAGAGTAATCTTATTCAAATAGGCAAAAATGTAGGACATTCAATAATAACTTGCATCAGTGCTGCAGCGAATGGCGTAAATGCGACTTCAAGAACCCATGATCTCAGTAGAAAATTCCACGCGCCCGAAGTAGAAGGCAGAAACTAGTATTAGTAGACATTTTCAAGTGGTTTTAAATGTCAGCTGTTTTATTGTGATTCATCTAAAATAAAAAACCGAAATTAACAGTTACCAGACCGATGAATGGTCGACCACCTGCTGAATCAGTTCTGCAAACATTGCCTAATTAAACTGCCTTCCTAACGGATTAATTAACAACTGTGACGATTGTTTTAGACCGATGCACCGTTACTTGAGAAGGAACTATTGGCAAGGTATCATCATCGGATTCCGTCAAGCCACCGGGATGTGAAGTATCCGGTACTGGCACGAGATGTTTTTACACGTTTTCCTCTCTATGGAATGGTTGCTTGATATCTATAGTTATTTTGTTCTCTTAATTACTTGTATATTGTTTTAAACAACAAAAGATAATGCTATGCGATGAATTTTCTACCCATTAGCGACGTGTCTTCTTAGGTAGATTCTACGCGTCCTATGTGATGATCATTATCTCATGTAAGTGTACTCGGAAGAAAGGCATTTAATTAATTTAATAAAGTTTTATTTCCTGACTTTCCTTTACATTGTTTTGTACATTTCTCAAGTAACAACTTAGTTTTTCTTTTAAAAGTGTGCTTTATAAAAACCTTAGGTACTTAATTTAATTAAGAGTTATTTTGGGCCTATTGTTTAGTTCACTTTTTGTTTTCGTGATACGAAATGTTATCAAAATAAAAGTTCCTGTACATTTGCAAATCAATAAATAAGCAATACCAATATTTGATAAGAGACGGAAGTAATTTCCAATGTAAGGAACAATTTCACTTTGTATGACATGACAATCTAATTAGTGTAAAAAGCGTCTTGAACGAGAAATGACATTCCTTGGCTGCTGCGTGGGCGGTTCTAAATTTATTCCACCTTTTATTAGTTGCATTGAAACTTGGAGAGAGCTACCATACATTGTATTTATTGTTTTGCAAATGAAATAATATAAATAATGTAGCTGTATGTAATGTAATGTTGTAATGCACCTGATCAATCTAATTTTAACTGTAATTTATATTATTTAAAATAAAAATTCTATTTTGGACAATTATCTAAACCGCTTAAGATAGACGCTTGTGACATGCAGGCATGCAGGTACCTTAGTAAACTTAAAGCTTAGTTACAACAGGATATTGCAAAATTCCCACGGGAACGGGAGTTAGCGGGAAAAAACATTTGTATGAAAAAAACTAAACCGCGTAAGATAGATGAAGGGGGTAAAACGGGATCCACGCGTACGAAGTCGCGGGCGGTTACTAAGTTACTCAAAAAATGGCTTAGATGTGTTATTTCGATTCCCTCTGTCCCCCATGAAATCATGGGGACAACGGAAATACAGCAATTGATTGGAACTCTACCATATAAATACACGTAGCTGATGATCAGCCTGACTTTCACAACCTTCGGCTATGTTTTAGGTAAGTTCTTTTCGTCACGATAAAGTTTATGACTTTCAGACTGAAAATAAACACTAT